GTGTGCCTGGGCCAATGTCATCCTTAAAATGAACTTTTACCTGCTCTGCAAAAAAAAACATGTCAGTAATGACTGGGGGCGCAGGGGATTATGGGTATATTCACTTGGATCATACACAGAAAATAATCCCCATTTTTGCAAAGCTCATTATTGCAAATTGACCCCAAGCCGCTTTGGTTCTTCCAAGAAAAATACAGATGGACTGAAGTGATGGTTGCAGATGAAGGTCTCTGCCTGCATGTTTTACACACACGCACAGGACAAGAGTGACACCCTCCCCTGAATGCAGCACACGCCCATCCATTGCTCTCATCCAATAAGGCTCTGTGACCTCTGTCCTCATGCCACAGCCTGTAGCTGACAGGACTGAACTGAGGTGCTTCCAGTCACATCTGGGGGTGGTGTCTGGTTTCACTGCCCCGCCTTCTGTGCACCATCTGTCCTGTAACAGGAAAGCTCCCCCCACCCACCCCCTTCCCATTCTGCCGCCACACCCTAGCGCAGTGTTTCCCAACCCGGTCCTTGGGGACCCCCATCTATGTTTTTGCTCCCTCCCAGCTCCCTGCCAGACAGGCCCTCTGGGCGGCCTTGAGGACCAGGTACCGCCCTAGCATGCCTCTGCTGAAGCGAGCCTCTGCTCACGTTTCCTGTGATGGCACGCCCCATCCTTGTTGCCCCCATCCCGCCCGCGTGTCCCTCTGGAATGCCGTCAGCAGACGTGACTGCTGCTTACGGACAAGCATGCCAAAGCCTGAGTCTTCAGCATTATTTTACGGTCCAGTGGAGGTCTGCGGGGGTGCCCCCCCCCCCCACTCCCGGCTAATTAAATCCCAGTCAGCCGTGCATTGGGAGGACAGGGAAGACTGGGAGAACTGGGGGGCGGGGCAGGGGAGGGGGGGGTTGCGGCAGGAGAATGTTGGCCCACAGAGTTTTACTTTTTATTACAGCTACTTAAACCACGACTTCCTGGCTGTTAAGTAATCACTGCGCTGGTCCGGCTCGCAGTTTTAACGGGAGATTAGCAGGATGCATTTTTATGGCCACAGCTTTTAGCGGAATGAACGCTGCACAGATAGACGCGGTCCGGACGGGTGCAGCCGTTCACACCGGGGGCTCAGTGGCCCCCCCCTTCTCCGAGAGGCTTCATGTGACACTTCATCCTGGCCAACATTTTTAATATTTTAACAGTGTCTGCGCCTTGTCTATGTAAATTCACCCTATTTATTATTAATATTAATATTTAAAAATCCATCATATGTGTGCAATAGACTATGCTAGTAAATAGTTTTCAGCCAATAAACATGAAGGATACTGAAGAGACGTTCAGATAATCAGGCCTGTGGGTATCTGTGATGGACAGTGATGCATCTGCCAGTCCCTCTGATCATCTCTGATGACGTCGCTTGGCCCTTGAGCAAGACCCTTAACCTCCTCCCCCCCTCCGAAATGCTCCCTGCTTTCTCAAAAATGTGTGTCGCTTTGGATAAAAGTATCTGATAAATAAACAGATTTAAATCTGGACGTCAGCTAGAACTGGACATATGCCGCCGCACACAAGCAGAGAGAGAGGGCTAAACCGCAGCCCATCATAGTCTCTCATGCTCCTCAGCTGTTCTGCAGGGAAGAATTTAACTGAAATGAATCTTTATTGTCATCATACAAAATACGATGAAATTGGATGCAGTCCCTTCAGTGCACATTTGGCATAAATAAATAAAGTGTTTAACTGATGGGGTGAGCGCAGCTGGCTGGTAATCGGGGACCTGGAGGTGCGGCCTGAGCTTCAGCTCACACTGGTTTCTGTGAGATCAACATGGACACGATCTTCTGCCTGCTCTTTGCATGTAGCACAACTATAGACCTGTGTGCATGTTAAATATCGTGGGATATCCACAGCGCTCTTTGCATCAACACCTCTCTCTCCCGGACCTAAAATCTGTTTCGGATTCTGAATGAAATCCAAGAGGCCGCTACCCTAAAACTGGCCAAGCTGGTCTTTAACCCTAAGCCTCCCAGCTGGCCCTACCAATGTTTAATGACGCAGTCTAAATAAAAGGGCTCATCGTGATAAGACACCATCTTATCTCAAACCAAAGGAAATGCCGTGGTGCCTTGGCCGATAAACTCATACGCTTCATACTTTCTCAGCCAGAGGCTGTGGAGGACAGTGGAAGCCCCTCGGAGATGCCTGCTGAAGCAGGAGAGACGGAAAGGTCTGCGGTGACAGCCGCGCCTGACACGGCAGCGAGGCACATCCCACGTGACACGTCTCTGTGCCGAGATCACGTCTGTACCGTGTCACACAGTACCGTGGGGGGGGACGGGTGCAGGATCGGGAAATAAAATGCAACAAAGACATGATATAAAAGAGGCACGCAGTCACCCAGGAAACAGAGAATGCAAGCGTCGGAGAGACATGAACCGTGGCAACATCATCGCCATGGTAACGTCGCGGTGCTGCGGGTCGCCATGTGGAGGGATGCAGCAAACATGGCTGTGTGGGAGTCCTGTCCAGATGCTCGCTCCCATCCTCGTGGCCGGGCGGTGTGATGCAGTGTCACCCTCTGCCCCACGTTTAAGCATCTTTGTTCTCTGACACAATGGCGCGACGCACAAACAGGACACGTCTCTGGCACTGCGGTTGCTATGGAAACAGACAGTAATCCGCCTGAGCGCGGAGAGAGAGGAGCGAAGACAATGTGGCTTCAGAGTCCAAGCTTGGCCGCCGTCCGGGCGGAACCGCGGTCCTCGGGACTGAAAGCCGGCCCTCATGCTGGCACGGTCACACGGCCTGGGCCCCGCCCCTCGCCAAGTGGCACAGAGCCAACGCACAGCAGGTGCGACACTTCACAATTCACACAGCCGGGAGATCGATGAAACCCCAAAGGATATCGGCACCCGGGCAGCTCTGGTGAGGCGAGAAAGGCCGAACGGCAGCCCGGCGCTGTGGCGGCACAACCACACCGCTGCCTGTCCCCTTCCGTATTGTATTCCGACACCAGCGCCTCGGAAAAGCTCCAAACCCATTTAGACCTCAGAGAGGATGATGTCATCAGCCCCAGGATTCGGTGAAACATGGCCGCATTTAGAACGGGCAGAATCAATACTAAATGAATGATACACAGAGCACTAATGCACCGGTGAGTCCCGCGGTGGGTGGGGCCGCGGTGGGGGGGGCTGTCAGTCACGGATCGCTTTAATCCACTTCCATCTGGTTACTTTATTGCTTTGCAGCGGGTGATTGGTCAAGCAGGATTATCCCGCCCATGTTGGGAAAGCTGTCGCCCCAAATCTCCCATTGCTGTGAATCACTAAAGGAGTTAACATTAAGCCATTCATCGTGGAGAGGTCAGAGGTCAGCAGACCATGGTTCTAGGGGGAGTCCTGTGCAGCCGGAATGGGCTTGTGTCCAGGCTCATAAAGCCTACAAAGACACCACACCGTGATCACTTTCACGAAGGCTCAGTAGGCAAGAGTTATGGAAACACCATCATGAAGCAGATCTCATACCGGCCTGGTCCAGGATTCTCCATCCAGTAGGCTTAGGTAGCTAGGCTAATGGCCACTCCCCATTCACCCCTAGTGCACCCAGTTCCCGAAGTCCAAAGGAGAGGGGTGCGGCCCGCCGTGGTCACATGACAGCCTGCAGCAGATGGCCAGCCCCCTCAGTGCGCCATCGGAAGCGGGAAGTGGAGTTCACAGGGGATCGGATTTCTTTTGTGTTGCTTAGCCACCCCCCCTCCCCACCTCTGAATCCAAGGGACCATCATGTGACTCTATTGTTTATGCACCCAGTACACACTGGGGGCGAGGGGGGGGGCATCTCTCAATCTGCCGGCTGCTAAAATTCCCATAACCAGCCCCTACCAGGTGTCGGGCCATCGGCGAGAGCCTGCAGACGAGGAGAGGCGTGACAGAGCCTCTTAGGAGCTCTGAGTCTGTGTCCACCTTCTCAGGAGCCCAACATGTTCACCTTATCAGCAGCTGCTGCTCGCAACATCCTGTTCCTTTAGCGCTCAGCCAAGCTTCAGAGCTCAAAAAGCAAAGCCAGGTCTACACTTCAATTCCAGGACCTCAAAGACAACCACAAAAGATTTACTACGCCATATCTTCCAGACCATACTCCAATGAAACCCTGGCAGAAGACCTATTTCAGATGGATATTTAACCTTGAAGGTGTTCTGCTAAAGATCAGCTTTCTATGTGTAAAAACAAAATGTACATATTGCATCACAGGGGTCAAATCCAGCTGAAAGAGTCTCTGAACAAATTTGCAAAGTATAGATGAGAAGCCAGTGCTAGTTTTGGAACTTATCTAAGCTCACTTTAAAAATGGACTCCATTATGACAAGACCACAGAGCTAAAGAGAAAATCCTGGCTAACCGAACACATAACATCACTTGGAGGTCCCAGCCCTGATCAACGAGCTCTATGCACAAGTGCTCCCCATTCCTCGGTAGCCTGGGAGGCTCGAGGTAGAGACTAGGCCAACCGGGGAAGGAACCTCAAACTCAGAAAGGCACTACTGCGGTGCCCCATTCCCACATTCCTGCAGGCACGCCCATGAGAAACCCCTTTGACAGCTGCAGGCGGATTCCTGACACACATCTGTTAACGCACCATGGAAACGCATGTGGCTGGCCATTCCGCTGCACCAACTGCAAGCCTGACATTATCAACGGTGCTGCGGATTGGGCCAGCTCAACCAGGTCCTGGTGCCACCATCTGTGATCGATATCCATATTGTTCATATCTGGTGGAGAATCTGAAGCCAGCTAAAGGCTGATGTTGTCTTTTCAAGGCAGATTGCTGCAAACCTGGCATTTCATGCTTAGTGGGGCACATGCTTGACTCTGGAAGTATCCAGTTCCGGGTAAAAGGAGCATTAGCACACTGATCTCTATGCAAAGAGCATAAAGCGGAAGCTCTTTTTATAGACAATGAAAGAGTCAACCAGGAAACTTGTAATGGCAGACCTCCTCCAGCAGGGGATGCTCACCTTGGTGCCACTGTAGAAGTCGTCCACAGAGGTGGCATTCATGAAGGTCTGCTGTAGGTGTGTGCTGGTGTCGATGCCGCCCGGGATCACCAGCTTGCCTGTGGCATCTATGACCTTTGCCCCGCCAGGAATCATCAGCTCCCGGCCCACCTGCTGGATGATGCCGTTCTCGATGTAGACGTCCGCCTCCTGAGTGAAGTCATCATTGACCACCTTCCCACCTTTGATGAGGATCCGCACTGTTGCTGAATTAGCAGCCATTGTCCTGTGGGGACAGATCACAAAGACGCTGGTTCGCTGGGTGACGGGACAATGTTCATTTGACCGATGGAGTCCCTGCCAGATTCCGATGTAGTGCTGAATGCGACCACCTTCCAACTGAAACAGCTTCACAGAAAAATGCCTCCTTAACAGCTACTGATCTGTTCTTGGCCATTCGGGAGTTTAAGTTGTACAAATGCATCTATATATAGTAAGTCACACACAGACAAGCATCAGATGGCTCTGCAGCAGAAATGAAATCAGGCAGCTTTTAGGCCCTATAACCCTTCACACATTTTTGACATTGTGTTAAATAATTTACAAGGGCATAAAAGACATGAATTATTAAGCAACTTCTAAAAGTCCTAGGTTGTGTTCATGGTTACCAAAGACAACAACAAAAACACATGATGTTTGGGATGATTTAATGCAGTCAATACAATACAAAAGTGTTTAGAAGTAGTTTTTGTGTAAGGAATAAAGATGATAATTGCATCAGCAATAACAGTAATTGCAGGGAAACGTTTAAGAACAGTAACAAGTGTCTGTCCGAAACCACAAGACCAACTACTGATCACTCCAATGATAACAGATTATATTCAGAAACCTGCTCCTGATCTTACCAATCAGAAGAGGCTTTACTGAAAAAGCTCCAGCTTATCATCCTAATGACAAGAGTTCATGGCAAACACCAACTACTCACATTAGGGATGCATCAATACCACTCTTTTTAAGACAGGGTATGAGTACTGATCTTCGCTGTCTGGTACTCACCAATACCAATTAAGAAAGCGGGCTGTCTAAAAAAATAATATGTCATATTTTTTAGTTAAAAGTATTGGGTTAAAAATAATATAGAAATCTCGCCTACCACCCTACACACACAAGCATACAAACACGCGGGGGGGCACTGATTAGGGCACTGTGTAGGGCAGGAGATTTAATTATGACTTAAAAGCATGTCACGGGCGTCTAAAACAATGGTTCACAAATATTTTGCACCACATACCACCTCAGAAAGCACTAAACTCTCCGTTACGACAGTAAGTTTGTTCCTCAAAACAATATGCTGGGTAAGAAATTTGGTTATTACCACTGAATGGACTTTCATTTGACATTTTCTCTCTGTGTTGCACATTGGGTTGTAGCAGAGTGCCACTGGTGGTCTACACTTTTAGTTTTGAAATGTTTAAGTAGTTTATTTGAACTTGTTTCTTACCTCCTCTTGATATTTTGCGTCCCGTCATGCTTTGGCTTTTCCATTCATTCTGAAGAGTTTCCATTTTATGGTCCCGTTTGTTTTGCTTGCTAACAACATCACTGATGCATCACTACATGGTATCGGTTATAGGTATCGGCACATCGTCACAAGGATGAGTATGAGTACCTGAGTGCTATATCAGACCTGATACCAATATGAGTATTGATGTACTTCTAATCCAGACCAATAGCAAGAGACTTTATTAAAAACCTGCCATGGTCTCCACCCAGAATTATAAAAATTATAAAATGAGGCGTACAACGACGCAAACCACTCAGATGCTGCCAGTTTTGTACTTTTACAGTTAATTGGTGGAATGTGTGGAAGCAGCACTCATTTTATAATTTTTGGGTGGAGACCATGGCAGGTTTTTAATAAAGTCTCTGTTGCTGCCCGAAACAGTCAAGGGGTACGTAGATCTGCTGAGGCTGAGAAACACGGACGTACCAGTGGGCATCTACATGGGCACCATTCTGGAGTAATGTAGCGAGGCTGAAGTGTGTTCTTCTCACCAGAGACGTGTGTTCCCAGGAGACACCCAACCCCACGGTACGACCCCGCTCAGCACAGCCGTCTTCGCTTGTATGGCCGCTCTTACTGTCCTTATGACGCCCAGGCAACAACACACTTGTAATTTATATATGACGACAGAATAGCTTTTTCCATAAAACATAGCTTGTGTCTTTTATCAGTACTGATCATATATCAACTGCTATTAATATATTAATACACCTTATAATGCCAAGTTGGAAAAGGCAAAGCAACCCGTAATCAAACAGGGTATGTACATACAGTACTGAGCAAAAGTCTTAGGCAGTCAAAGAAAATGACTGATGATATTCATGTTGGTGTGAAACTATGATATTACGTCTGGCAAAATGAGTCAACTATGCCAACAGTACAGTAGAAGACTTTGAGAAGAATTTCAAGACTAAAGTCTGACACTCTCTCACATCTAGATAATGTGTCAGTAGTCACAGTGTTTTTTTGTCAAAAAGTATGATTCTGCAAAGACTGGGCATATTGTAGGGTCACTATTTGGTACTGCAGAGAGCTCACTTATTGGTTGTTGACAGTGTCCACGTCATTATTTGCATGAGCCAAGACTAAGACCTATGATAATACTAAACATGGCTGATTTTATTTGAATATCAAGACAATAAAATTCTAGCAAAATTCTCATAATTTTACTCCAAAACTGGAAAATTTTCTGCGATAGTAAAACTGCTTGAAAAGTGGTTTGGTGTAAGGCCAGCATTAGCCATTTCAAAATCTCTCATGAAGTCAGTAAAGGCAGTAACTGTCCATGTATTTGTTGACTTGACCAGTAGTATACCATGTTGGGATTATAAATACCTCATTGAGCTATTTAACTAATTAAGCTAATTACTTAATTGAGCTATAGGTGAAATTTAATGAATACATGGAATGGTTGAGATGCCCCTGAGGAGAGATCTGGGAACCAAAGCGGAGTTCTTCTGGCCATCCAACAGGAAACCAGTCACTTATTGTAGAATAGAAGAAATTGGGTTACTGCTCATTTGTATTTGTATGTATGTATGGATTTGTTTCCCTTTCAAATTAATCACTGCAAAAATACAGCCTAAAATTATATATCATAGTATAGCATAGAACAGAACATTATATTGCATATCATAGCATATATTACAGTATAGTAAGGCGTGGAATAATAGAGTATATATTCTAAGTTCACTATCTCTTCCCTTCTTGTTTAGAGTATTTTATATGATGCGTCACAGTGGGAAATGTGTAAAACTGCTTGATTCTAACAGCGATCCAGATTCTATTAAACATTCAAATGTGTTTGTTTTATTAATTACAAAAATGAAATAACTGCTCTAGGGCGTTGATTCATACAATGTCAAACATGTCAAGGAGCGAGAAGAAAATTCTCCTTCAAAGTAAAGACTTCATAATTAAAGACAAACCTGCTGAATGCATGTACTAATAAAATAGATATTAAAGAAAAATAAATTCTTCTCAGGCTAGACTGCATGTAGCATCGGGTTACTGGGTAATTACCAATATTCAACAAATGTGCATTCTATGCTAGACACATAATATCCAGAGCAAAAGGTCGGGAAGCAGACAGATATCACAGCCTGTTAGGGTACCAAGCGAAACATAAAGAAAAGCATGAAAGGCACCTGACTGAAGATCTGGATCAGACCTGGGCAATGAGGACAGCAGTCAGCACCAGCTCACAGTGTCTTTGCCCTCCTGCTACAGCCGAGCTTAAACCGGAGCTCGACCAGCCAGAAGAGCTGAAGGCGCTCCTGACCCTCTCACCAGCCTTCCTGTCCTCCTCTCCGCTACACCACGCGTCTCGTAAATCTCAGGGATATGAACAGATTTGTGGGGTCATCCACAGCAGTGGTTCCCAACCCAGTCCTCACGGACCCCCCAGACTGTCCATATTTTTGCTGCCTCCCAGCTTCCCACACACCTGTACCATGTAGTCTGTGTGGGATGGGAGCTGGAAGGGAAGATGTGGACTCTCAGGGGTCCGTGAGGACTGGGCAGGGAAACACTAATTTATATGGCTTCAGTTGGCTGTAATGAGACGTGTAACATCAGTGCCAGATATTTTACCAGATTAAGACTGTAATCAGGGAGATGATGATCAGGGTCATGCTTAGCACACAGGTACACACATTCACCATGTAAAAGGCATGTTGGTGTGGTAAGGCCATCATGGGCTCTGCACTGGATGGAAAGGGACGAGACGGCAATAATGGCCAAGAAAATGTCACTCCTTGGCCAACGGCCTGTCACATTCAGGCAGGAGAGCCGGGACCCTTCATGGCATGAAGTCACCGGCACCCTGGGGCCGGTCTGCGGGAATCTGGCTCAGTTCTTCCACATGAACTTCCTTCAGTTTCTGCTGGATGGATGCAGGCTGACAGTGGCCATTAAAAGCACACTGTCCACCTGTAGGAAGCGCGGCATTATGGGACAGCAGGCGACGGGCTGGCCTGGCAGGGTGTGGAGTGCAAGCCTTCTTTGGGATTGAGTGAAGAAAGCACAGTGTGGTGACCTCAAGCTGGTCTTTGGACCATCATCACGAACATGGCAATGAACACATGCTGTCTGGAATGGCTAGAGGTCATTAACTAGCTTTATGGAATCTCCTCCTCAGCCATTTGGTTGAAACGACCGCGTTACGCCCCTGCCGGATTAAACAGGGTGCCATCGATTTCCTCTATTACCTGGCACATGCACTAGTAGCAATGATCCTTGTGGTTCTGGAGTATCTGCTCCCACCAAAACCCTCTCTTTCATGATGACATCTTTCCAAGCTTTTTTTTTCTCGTTAGGCTTGCATCATTTTCGAAGCAGAAACGTCTGCAGATTTTGCAGTGTTTGTCAGGCCAGAAACACCACTAATTATACCCCGTTTCACTGTGACTCTTTACTCGCTGCTCGTTTATTACTGAGAGACATTCACGGTCGACCACACTTCCTGCAGCCTACAGTGACAGGGTAACCAGTGCAAACAGAGGAGTAATCCTAACCCTCGCCATACGCTGTGCAGGGGAATGTTTACTCGTGCTATTCACCATGACCAAGGGCTACTCCGGCAACAGAGCCCCATCTCTGGCCTCTATGCAGGATCACACTCGCACGGATCGACGTGGACGGTGACCTGCTGCAGCCCAACCCAGAGAAAGCCTCACGTCACTGCTTTGTACGCCTAGATGCTCGATTGTAAAAGGGCTCTTCCCAATCGGCCTGATCCAAAGCCCTGAGTCACCGCTGTAGCTTTTGGAGAAGAATAATTCAGAATGATCCTAAATGCACACCAGCCGCCACGGCCCTGAAATGATAAAGACGACGATGATGTATAAAAGATGATCCAGAAAAGGTGCAGTAACAGCCAACAACACTGGCAGACTGTGGAAAAAAAAAACTGATCTGATATATGAATTCAGGTACAGTTCTTCTTAATGTGGCTCTGTAAGCAAATTAACCCAAATATCCAAGCACACAACAGATAGGAAATTAACAGGGAAACAGTGGAGCATCTGCCAGGATGAGGTGGGAGTGCATTTAACATGGAGATTTCCATATGTGATTACGGTAAAAACACAATGCTGGTATTACCGCTACAGCAGAACATTTATCCTTTTTGGGCAGATCTCCTCCCAGCCACTAAAGCCCCTCCCTCCACTCACACATACACATTGCCTTTGGGGTCCAGGCCCCCCTTGCCCTCCTGCCCCAGCACTAGTTTCCAAAGGATGCCCCCAGACCGCAGGAGTGAGCGGGACAGTCACTGGCACTGATAAAATGCGGTGCAGCTGTTTGCACTGGACCCGGGTGACGTCATCTATGTGGCCCGTCAGTGATTTTGGGCATTAATATTCGCTTCCAACCAGTCAGACACCATTCACAACCACTGACAATTACTGCTGTATAAGCAAAACAACCATTGCATTACAAAAGAAGCACAGCAGACGGAAAACCGAGGGAAATAACACACGGAAACGGTTCGAAAATAAAATCAAGCCAGCGCAGCTTAGCACGGCGACCTTCCAGCGACACCCATTAGCGCAGCGGGCGGCTTCGGGCCCAGACACCCGGCCCAGCTTCTCGGGATGGGTACACGCTAATGGAGCAGGGTGGGGCACATTTACTGACATTAAGGAAAGCCACTTCTTTGGCCCCACTGCCTGTTTGGGATGCACCATCAAACCCCCGTGGGTCTGGCATAGTCCCTCGTCTGCTTTGGTACCCGTGCGATCCAGATATAGAGCAGGAAACGGCAGCAAACAGCGGGCCGGCACCGCAAAGACTTAACACGGGCGACAGCCCAAGTATGTCTTCAAATAAGCGGTGATGAGAGCGGACAGCTGCCCGCAGACATTTCACCGAATTACAGCTTTTGGGGGCGGGGGGTGTCAGTCAGAGTGCCAAATGAACGCGCCTCATCCCTTCCTCCCCATAGTGTGCCCATCACTCGATAAATAAAAAAATGCATATTTAATCCACATCCAGAGATTTTTGCCCACAAAGGCCGAATGATTCAGAGAAAAATTTGCCCTCTTTGTGCCTTAGAGAGCGCCCGTCCCGGCGCATCCGATCATGAATAAATCATTAGGGAAATTGGGGCGAATTCATGTGGCTCTAACAAACCAGCCCAAGCTTTAAGGGGGAGCCCGCAAAACACGAATCCGTGATATCGAAATTATTTTTTATCCAAGTACGATGCTCATTTCGCTAACAAACAGACGCTCGTAGCCCATTACACCGCGTTTCACATCCATGTACCTTCATGTAATCGAAACACAGAAACATGCGGATCTTCAGCCCGGATCTTTGTTATCCGAGCGATGGGTGTGACAGCTTTACAGCTACACGCAAATTCGCCTTTCGGCCGCAAATGCGCTAGAAAATAGCGTCTCCCTGGCTCGCTGGGTCAGCTGGAGAATGGAAGATTAAATGCAGACGTTTAGCGACCTCATCGCTGTCGTGCGTCTCCGGAAAGGCGTTTAAGATGCGGCTGGACAGCATCTCGCCTGTGCTCATCCCGGGACGCGGCAGCTCGCGACAAAGGGGCCCGGTGGCATGCGCTCCCCGCGGGGAAGGTGCATACGGGCATCCCCCGATGAGACATGGACACTAGCTGGGCTTTCCACGGGAGCCCTTTAATCCGTTGAGACAAAACGCGCAAAATGAAGCTTTCCCCAGCAGATCCGCTGAATGGATAAAGAACCCGTACAGCCGCCGCGCCTCAGTCACAGGGCGGGCTGAAGATGCCTCGTCGAGCTGCCCCGATAAACGGCGGACACTTACCTTAATCCGCTCGGAAATGCTGTTCTCCGCCACGTTTAAGCGCAGCCCGCAAGCCAACGACAGCCGGAGCTCCTATGTAGATGTAGAGCACGGATGCCGAGGCAGCAGCATCCAGCGCAGGCGGCGGCCGGATGCACCAATAACGGGGAGCCGACAGCGAGGCAGCCGAGCCGGGACCAATGCACGGGCAGCTGGGGCGGTGCCGCCGCCGCCCTGAGCCACTCTCACTGGAGGGTGGAGAACTTCAGCTGAAGGAGACAGGGTCCTAAACACGGGCTGGGGGATGGAGAAGACCTCGGTATTCGGAATGTAGGGGGGATGAGGAAAAGGTCCCAGTGTCATATAGGGAGACGACATCCGCCCGGTACAGCAGGACTGACTGGAGCGTGGAGCCACATCCCTGCCCGTCTGTCCATCAAGAAGAGAAAACATCTGATCCTTCATTTTAATGTAGATATTTTCCAGCTTTTAGGTAAAAGCAGATGTGATTTTAGGGTAAAAGCAAATGTGTTTCTATGCTGCTTTTTAATTATGGGCACTGGAAGGATGAAAACACGCGTTCGTTTAATGTACCAGTAAAAATAGGCCTAACCATTGTATGCACAGCATGTAATAAATGCACATGAAGTGGAAAAGTAAAGACACAGGCGATTTTTTTTTTTTGCACAAAAACAGTACATTTATTCAAGTGTTCTCCAGCACAAGTACATAAGAAAGGGGTCTTTTTCTTCTTTCTGGGCACTGAAAAAACGGGACGAAGGTGGAGCGAGTGTGACTGCTACATGGAGGCACGCACTGACCTTTATATTATAATCCATCAACAGCTATGTCACGAAAAATAGTTACACAGGAGTACAATAGTATCACTGAGAGATATACAGAGAGTTGACCTGTAAGTCTGTGAAATGTACATTATTGTTGTCAATAAATATCAAAGCGACAGTAGAAATTTCAGTCCGATGAAAGTAAAACAAACATTATAAAGTACGGAGGGTCTGGCTGTATGGAATGGAGAGCACAGGAGCGTTTGCCGCCAGGCAATGAGCAAATACAATATGTAACAGTAAAAGTTATTACCAAAGGTCTCTCTAATCTCCAATATGAATACATGATTTCCCACAGATAAGCACCAACTACAGCAAGGTCTAGGCTAAACACATCAATCTGTCCATTTTCATTTTTTTATTTTATTTTTTTCAAGTACAAAGTTAAAATGCCTTTGTTAATATATTTGTACAAGAGTAAAATAATAGTGCTTTTTCATACAACGAGAACTTAAAAACAGTCATTGTCAAGACAAGTTGATTTTTTTTCCTAACAATATATTTTTCTTTTATTAGATAAAATTGTGTAGCACCTTATGAAACACCCGCAGTCCCTCTTTTTATGTTTTGTTTTTTATAAAAGAAAATGCAAAAAAACAAAAAACGAATAACTGAATAGCGCATGTAGGGCTGCGTGCCAGAGCTGAGCCTTTTCCTTCTTAAAGCTGTGGAGATGCTAATAGGCGCATCGTCGGGTCTGCACTGGCCGCTTACGTAACACACAGGCAAATGGTTCATAAATACACGCGGTAGTCGCGCTTGGAGACCCTCGGAAGCCAGCTGCATTGTAGCTTATTTTCACACAGATTCACCAGCTCTCTTGCATCCCCCTCATCGGAGCGTTACTAATTTCATGATATATATTAGCAAAGAATCATATTTGTACATCCCATAGGCAATTCAAAAAGACATGACCAAAAAAATAAGCACCAGGCAAAGTATGTACAGTAAAATGCAGGCATTGTTATTACCTATTTCAGTTGAACTGAAGGAGAGGGGATCGTCTGGAGTTTTGTTATCAAAAACTGTAAGGGGTGACATATATCCAGTGCAATGGCGGCTATTACAGTATCATCCATTGACGTGTGGCTGGGATTATCACATTTGCTTGGTAAAATATAAGTAGTTTCCCGTTAAGTTAGACTCAAAGGAAAATGTGACTAAAGTTAATGCACCTTTTTCCCTTTTCTTTGCTGAAGTCAGCGAAGCACCTTAGCTAACCGCCCTGGGAGCAGGGATCGGCCAGTGAACAGTGAACCATCTCGACGGTATGCAGGGGACGCGGAGTCAGGGGGGGAGCACAATCCCACCTGATTTCACAGAGGTGTGCAGTTCACATATTAAATCGTAGGCCGCGTCCCACGAAAGCGTAACACGGTGACATTCTCACCCCACCTCCCATAGTAAAACGGAGGGATAAACCGAGGCGGGAGCTTACGTGTATCGCTCCTTTCAGGCAGATGGATACATTGAAAAGCCTCCATCGCTCAGAATACACGCCCGGTCTTTCAGACCTGTTGGCACAGCCCTAGAATGGTCAAGTACTGCGATTCGTACAGTTCACATCATAAAGCGAAAACGAGAAATGAGCACACATTTAAAAAAGAAAGGGAGGACGAAAATATGATAACGGAAAACGAAGGAAAAAACGAAAGCGCAGACATGGGAGAATGAGTTATAAGGGGTATAAAAAGCTGAAGGGCAATGTGGAGGGAGCTGCACCATAACGTTACAGATTTGCACCTGACTGAATAGATTGTGTGGGCATGGGGCCACAAGGGCTTCTGGGGAGCCAGCTGTAACGCGCCTGCCTGTGGCCCCTGGCCCCCACACAGTTGTACAGTAAAATGACAATGTCCTGGTTGTAACTAGAAAAGTAGTTCACCACAGTCTGTGATCTCAAACGTTTTGGATGACAAAAAACATCACCGCTCACTCGGCTGGCTTAGATTTATTGTGTTTTTTTTTTCCCGGTTTTGTGCTGCCACAGGCAATGAGGCCTGAGAAGAACAAGGCCAAAGGGTTTGGAGAGAGCACCAGTAAGTTTGTGTACAAAAGCTGTGGTAGATAAAAAACACGGCTGCGTCAGCGCCCTGCCGGCCGCCGCACGGCCTTCCGTCCCCCCCCCACCCACCACCGCCACCGCGACGGGGACCGGGGACCTCTCTCAGCCACTGTAAGTATTGCATTGCCTTTTTTTTCTTTATTTGTGGAAGTCACGCCGTAAAAATAAAAACAACAAAAAGAAATACAAAAGACCAAGAAAGCCAAAAGATCCCTGGCTACTTAATACCTGTATCCCTGTCTGCCTGAATCATAAGGCCACATGAGAGAGATGTTTTTCATCACCTGAAGCACCATAACGTAGTGACCGCTGTGCAGTAGTACCTTGTTTCTGTTGATGAGCTGTAAACAAGCACTAAGTGGGCTGGGCTGTTCGCGTCTCAGTCCGAGGGTCCCCTACAGATGGAGAGGAGACCACGCCCCCACTGTAGGCTTGTAACTCTCTCAGTGACGGCTCAGTAGCTGAAGTGTGAGTGTTGCCGAAGGACCCCCCCCCCCTTCATGCCGGGCCCTGATCTGATCCGCCACCACCATGCTGTAATGACTGCCCAGTTAACACACACATATATATACTCAATATACCATGCAGTACATATACGCATCTTAAGAGAGATCATTAATTTTCCGTTGTTCCAAATGTACCATTTCCCAGTGCTGTTAATAGAAAGCCTCCCTGTACAGGTTGCTCACAGAGATCAATATAAAAAAATTACTAGATAACATTGCTAAAAATTAAAATGACATAAAAAAAATTAAATAGAATAAAAGAATGGCATTTTAATTTCAAGAAATAACGTAAAACATCTAACTTTAAATGCATTTCAATAATCGCTTATGAATTTGTTTGTTAAATATCAGTTCTTGTGTATGTTGCTGTGTTGCTGGGCGGGGTGCTGCGGCTCGGTCTACTCGCAGGCGAAGTACTCTTTGAGCGGTGCAAACAGGTGGCGGATGACAGGCACGCTCCAGGACCGTCCCAGGAGTCGCTGCCTGGCCAGTCGGCTCATGTTGGACACGTCTGTGTAGTGGACAGGGAAGCCGAACACCCTGGAGCGGACGCAGAGGAAAGAGGCTTGGAGTACTCACAGGATGCAGTGATCAGAGTACTCACATGAGATGCAGTACTAATATCCATTAGAGCACTCACACAAAATGCAGTACTTTCACCCAATAGTGTACTCACACAAGTTCAGGCTAGTGACTAATTACTACCTACTACCACTACCTTCATGTTTTGTCATGTGTCATTTGTTGAATTTGGTAGTTTTAGGCACTAGCAACCCCAACATGCACGGACTATAGTAGTAGTAGTAATAATAATAATAATAATAATAATAATAATAATAATAATAAAGGGTATTGAAAATGGATGGGGGGATGATGATGAGGATGGTGTTTGAGTCCCGAATGGTGGTCCTACCTCTCCATCTCAGAGCACCACAGAATGTCCTCCTTTTCGTTCATGTACACAGGGTAATGCTGGTCTTTGCCCTGCTTGACAGAATTAGACCGAGTGGTGATGGTTCTCACTTTGCCGAACTGCAAAGACAAAGCAGTGCTTCCAGATGAACACGCTTCCTCACTCTGCCACTGCACAGACCAAGACTCCTCAAGGGTTTCCAGCTTTCGCTGTGCGGCCTGGGACTCCCCATCTTTTTAAAGAGCAGGGACGCCCCCCCCTGCCCAGCCAGTTAGCCGACTGTTCAGACAAGGCCTCGCATGGTCTCTTTTCGCTGGTCAAAATGCCCGACGCCGGAGCTGTGCACTGCACTGTAGATGACAAACCCGAGCTGTGGAAGCTAAATGGTGCTACTGAGCTACTCCGCAGTGAGCTGCTGTTGTCTGGCAGGGTAAACACCTTCCAGTCCAAATGGCTTCATAAAAGCAATAAAAGCCAAACTGAACGGAAAGGTGCCGTATCTATCGTATCCCAGGGCTTCAGACAGCATTCACATGTACAACAGACACGTGAAAGCAGTGTTCAGTAGATATGACAGACATGGAGAAAAGCCTTCATACATCAAACGCAGCACAGCCCCTGGACACTGACCTCAATCTGCCCAAAGGGGTAGGGGGTGGATTTATTTTAATTTAGGTGGCTGTATACCCCCCCACCCCAAACCCCCCACAGAAAACCTCAAAATGGGAACAATCATCTGAGGAATTGAGGCAAAGCCTTGGTCTAATCTGACCCTTTTAACCTTTACGGATGCATGACAGACTCAGTGTGTTCCCTGCTTCTGGACATGATTGGTAAGTTACCCATAAGGTCCATCTTGCCCAGTGTCCAAGCACATGCCACAGTGGGCAGGACCCTCACCTTGGCTGTCCGCCCATGCTCCAGGCACTCTTGCAGGTCCAGCTTGTCATTCGTCATGGCTGTCAGCGGCCTGCATGGTGAAGAGAGACGGACCTTTCAAACATCCATGGGACACACACCCAAAGTCACACCCAGGACATCCGCCTCTTCAAATCACCTCACATTCCCCAGAACTGGCTGCACCATCTAACCGACCATGAACGCGAACCCGGCAGGATTCATGCTCAAAGACGCTTTACTGCTTTTCAAGCAAGTCTGAGTCAAACTGTGTTTAGCAGATAGTCAGACAGGCTCAGTCACACACAAGAAGTGGATCAGTCCCGATTACACAGTCACGGAAACAGCCCGTGGCATCAGTGACACCCCACCAGTAGAGCAGGGTGGGTAACTCTGGGGCAGGGAGGATAACCCCAAAGGTAGGAAATGCTGTAAGCAGTGATAGCAGCAATATGAGTGGTAGCGACAGCGATAGATACAACACAAACGAAAACACTACTAATCACTGCAGATTAAAAATGGAATCCTGTTATTGGAGACTCACGGTTTTGGGCCTGAATAAGCATTTTCAGTTTAAACCCCTCTACTATTGCCAGCACATTACCCCCCCATCACTGAATGCTGCTGTGACTGACTGACCCTTTTGCACTATTATTACTGCAATTTCTCAACAAACTACAGTGCAATATTTGGTAACGAGTTATATTAACTGCACCTTCATAATGCCTTTATAATGCATTCATAGAACATTCATAAGCAGCATGTAAGTACACCTTAACACCGTAACATACCTTAACAGCTTTAATATACATTAATAGCATAATATACATTATATAACTATACAATTATCCTGTCTGTTAATATTGTGTATTAAAGCCGTTAAAGTATGTTAAAATGTTAGGGAATACTTACTTGCTGCTTATGAATGCATTATAAATGCATTACGAAGGTGCACTGAACTGTTCTATGAATGCATTGTAAAGGTGTAGTTAATGTAAAGTGTTACCCAATATTTTCATATATGATAAATACACTATACGTTTACACCATACGCTCAAATAAGTATTCCTTATGTCTGTAGTGTTTATAGTATTTATTTATTACTATGTTGATCGCCACATTACGTATGTATGCTCATACTGTACGTTATAAATTCCGTTTTAATAGTTTAAAGTACCTGTAGAGTGACAAAGTGAAAATCGCTGATAAAGAGTGAAACAGTAAAAGTCTGCTGCCACTAGGTGCTCTGTCAGACCTGCTGAGT